ACTATAACAACTCAAAAGAGTTCTTATATTCACATATTTCAAGTAGATCTTGTACTTCTTTCTTACTTTTAAATTCACAATCTTCTCATTCCACATTTACCTTAGTACCTAGAAGCATATCATCGTTACCCATGTCTCCTCGTTCTTCACATTTAACATTTTCACCGTTGTCAACCAGCTCATGATGTTCACATGTTTCACTTGCATAAAGAGTCATGATTCCATCATTAACTTTACGAGTTCTTGCACTTGAAATCAACTCCTCGTTACTTGAACCGACCTCACTACTCGATATTGTTCACCCCTTTTATTTTTTTCATCATATTTTTCCAGCTCCACATGCAAAATATTGAATTATGTTTGATTCAATTCTAGATGACACAAAACATCATCATCATCGAAGATAAATATTGGTTTTTTTTTATTCACTATATCTGGCATGTAACTAAATTTCATCTCGGTCGTCGCTGCATCTACCATGCTCTTATTGCATATTTTATCAACCAATGCAAAATAAGTAACCACTTCAAAAGATGCTTTCATCAAAAGAGCGTGACGAGCATCTTCGCTTGAAATCCATTGTATTTCATCTCCTTTGTTTAAATAATATCATCCATAATCTAAATGAATGAATCTCCAACGATCATTATTCATTATCCCCTAAATATATATAGACTGGAGAAAATCCAATTTCTATATAGTTCTATTCAACAACTACATCCATATATTATAAATGTAATCCGACACTAATAGACTAAAACAAATGAGAATTAACTAGATGAACCCAAAAAAACATACAAGAAAAATAAAATTACAAGAAATCTAACAAATCTAACATCAACTGTTATCGCTACACTATACACAAGTTTCAAACACGTTGAAATTGAACAAACACACTAGAGTAGGCAAATAAATCACCTCAAACAAGCTTCAATGGTGTTTCAATGGTGGAGAGAGATGAATTTTGTTTAGTTTGTTTTTAGGGAGTTTTAGTTTTTTATTTAAAATATTTTGTTTATTTAAATTATTCAAAAAATTATAAGGAATATCAAAGTTGAGAATGAGTATTATAGTAAACGTCGAAAGGTATTTTGAATAAATGGAGATATTTTATAAATGGTTTTAGGATATAAGGGCACAAGAGTATTAAGACATTTTCATTAGCAAAGAAGAAGGTGATAAAGTTAGAACATTTTTTTTTCTTTGCGACTAAATGCTTCCATGGGTGTTGTTGATAGTTAACCATATTGTGGGTAATAGGCATCTGTGAAATAAGATTCAGATAATAATATCATATACAGATCATATATATAAAAATAACCATATACAGATCCAAAATTTGAGAATTTTTAATAAAATTGAAAAAATGTATTTATCTTTCATTCTATGTATCCGTACAGAAGTAGAACTCGAGAGATAGAACGGAGAGAGACTTAGTAAAACTATGATATCTAAATTGTTGTATGTGCGAAAATGTTTCATATGTGTATTTTTTGGTCTATATGCTAGATGATTTCAATAAGTCAAATGAGAAATTTTAAGAGGTATGATCTTTTATACTTAAGGCAATCTGTAAATGGTTGTATGTGATATGATGTTTCATTGGTGTGTGTTTTTGGGTATGCATGCATGATGATTATTTATTTATTTAGTCGCCTTTTTTTTTTTTAATTTATCTATCGTTGCTTCATTGATATATATTTACTTTTAATGTGTTTAAATTCTTTTTCTGAAAATTTGTTTTTAGTTGATTTTACTATACATTGTTATTTATATAACAATTTTTTTTTAATTATATGTAAATGCATCTTAGTCTGGTTGACTCAAACAAACATCGCAGATGCATCTACACTGACTTGCAGATCAAGACTGACTCACTTCCATCTCGCCGTTGATCTTGTCTCTCATTGGCATATATATCAACGAATAAATGAGGAACCAAGTATCGAGGTATTGAGATTGTTGAAACTGTTAAAAAATATATTTTATTGAGATTGATATATTAGCTGTGTAAATAAGTTTTTATAAGTGGAAGTATGATAAATTTGGTTTATATTTAATTGGGTTTCTAAAGTTTTTTTTAAAAAATACTCTATTTATGTTAAATAATTTTTAAAATACAAATTTTCTTTAATTTTTTTAAAACTAGCTTTCAATATGTGATATGACATTTTTTACTGTGAACTAAAAGTTCATTTTCAATCATTGAAAATTTAAATTTTAATTATTCTTATAATTATTAATTTTTGGATAAAAATGGTTTGTTAATTTCATATATTAAAAATCATCATTAAAGTCTCTAGAAATCTTTTAAATCATTTTTTTAAATGTTAGATTTATCAGAAAACTTGACATTTTATGTTTTAAAGTGTTTTAGGGGTTTATGTAGAAAATCAATTGAAATTTTGAATCAAATAAATGTAATCAGTAATGTGGGAGAATTTCAGAGAGAGCTATTGGATTGCATACATGCGCTCTGGGTTGTTGTTGGTGACATTGAGGTGGCAGCTCATGGAGGCGGCGAATGTCGTGGAGGTGGTCTCTGGTTATAGTAATTACTTATTTCTTTAAAATTTTATTTTATTTATATTTGTGTATTAATCAAATAATGATGATGATAACTTTTCATTTTTTTTTATTAATGCAGATTTTAACCATATAACTATGATGAACATTGCTAGCCTAACCATTATGAGTTTACATTTGGCAAGGAGATGGCATTAGTATGAAGAATACATACGGAGTTTGAGCACTCTTTGTAGAAAAACTTGTGAGTTAATTTTTGTTTATTATATATTTATGCAAAAAAATTAGTATACAAAGCCATTTTATCCTAATTTGTTAATTGATTAATACCTCTTCTTTCTTCTTTGTATTATTTTTATATAGAATTTAAGGGAAATTATCTTTGAAACAAAATATTTTGCTAAAAAATATATATATGAAATTATGATTTTGTAAATTTTTGAAGAGTATGTTATGTCTTCAAGATAAAAGAAAAAAACTAAATGATGACTTTGATTTAGAAATTAACTAACCCATTGAACAAGTTATATTAGTTAAGTATTAATTTTATATTTTGATTATTCATTGCTCATAATCATATGACCTATTCAAATTAGAATTTTATATGCCTTTCATAAATTGCAACTCTTAATCAACTTACCATAAGGGAATCCATAAATTTTCTTTGCTAAACTGTGTTCTTGAGTGGAAAGATCCTTTTCATCCACAATCATGGCACTCATTGCACAGTTTTTGATCCAAACTTATAAAGATGTGAATACTTGAGAGAAATGACGAGTATGCTATGGGTGAAAAACTTTATGACACATCCTATGTTATCAATGATCAGCTCTTCGCAATTGGAACCAGTTGCAAGATCAAATATTTCAATGATATATTCAACACATAGAGAGTGGTGAAAGGTTTACCTGATTTCGACATATTGAATTATGGTCTGGTTAACCTCAACAAAAAAATCCTCGCCATAAGCAGCAAAGACCTGGAGAGAATTCATTCATAGTCATTACTTTACAAGGGGCTTATGATATGAGGCAAAGTCCAATCTCCTAACATTATTTTCATAAGCATCTAGCAACTATTGAAACACTGGTTAGCGTAGAAACATGAGGGGTGCAAGACAAAAAAAAATATCAGACCAGTTGATAATTTTGATTGGAATGTTACGAACTAAAGAGCATTTACATTCAAATTCTTCTCAGGTTTGATGAGTACCTTCAAAATCTTAGTAGATGTCTCTGAAGATGACTTGAGTGCATGGCATGAGTGTATGGTTTTAAACATGTCTTTATTCCCTAAGATTATTCCAAAACAAAAATTGTTTAGGAGAGAGGATGATTACTTACATGTGAAAGCAAGTTTACCTCAGGTGAATCAAAAGACATTCTACAAATAATACCAATGGGTCTAAGGCGTCAAGATAGTGATTAACATCTGTTATCTTAATGAGTGAGATTAACTATTGTAGTTAGCTGACTAAACGGTTTCCTCCATTAGTGATGACAGGGGATCATAGTGCTTTGGCATAGAGGCTAACATCTTAACTACCAAATCAAAGTTTGATCTCCCTTCTCCTAAAGCCCTCATCTGATTAGCTATTACTTGAATTCTACCAGAGTAAGTCTTAACCTTTCACCCTCTTTCATTTTCAGATTTTTAAAATATATTCTTAAGGTTTATAGTCTAACCATGTTGACTTTCTCATTACCTTGGTAGGAATATTGCGGAAGATCCCATGCTTGTTTGGCTGTTGTTGTAGAAAAAAATTTCTCGAATATTACATGAGCTACATCATATTGGATGATCTACATAGCTGCATGGTCTTTGATCTCTAGCGCCCTCAGGTTTGCAGCTTCCTTTGTTTGTTTTGCTCTAGGTGTCTCTAGAGGTTTGTTTGCTTGTTCTGAGATTTTTTCATTGACCACCTCCCATAACTCTTTATTCTCCAGGGTCGTGCGCATAACTCATAGTTCTGTTTACCGGTTGTGAAGATTGAAATTTTATCGCCATGAGAATTTCTTGACTTCTATCTTCTTGATTTTTTTCCTTTTGGTTTAAAGCTCACTTTCTCTCAGGTTTTATTTCTTCTCTTTCACTCTTATTGCACAAAAGCTTTTTATCTCGTAGAACTTCGAATTTTGTTAATTTTAATATTCGATTGACTTTGGAGAGACAAAATTATTATTTGATCGTGTTTATTAATTTATCGAGAATTAATTTTTAGAATTTTCAATATATGTATAATAAGTTCCAAATTTCTATTTGATATTTTAAAACAATGTAAATTAATTAAATGAAGAACATATGATATATATTTAAAAAATATATGTGAGAACAATTGAAAATTTCCCGTAGCAATTTTTAATATTATTTTTGTAACTTTTCTCTAATTTTAAAATAGATGAAACCAAGTACATCTAAGGACAAATACTAATACAACTGAACACAAACAATTTTTTTTTTTTGTTTTTAACTCAACGACACAAGCAAATTTATAAAAGAGATTCAACGCCTAAATTAATAAAAATAAATAAAAAGCTGAAGAGCAAATTCAATATTTTGGAAGAGAACATTCCTTGGGTAGCTTGTTATTGAACCTTCCATTATCTTGGCAATAATCATAAATCAAGTGATACATCCTCACCCATTTAAACCATCTCTTTTGCACTCTTGTCAAAGAACTGAACTCATTCTTGTTCCACCAGTTTTCATTGCTCTCTCCATTACACATACTTGCGTTGCCTTTCCAAACACAAGCATCTATCTTGTAATCCCCAAAGGAAGCCACAAATGGACCCTTTGACCACTTAATCTTGTCAAGCCCACCGCGTGTAGCCCAGCTCTCACCGTTCCATAGACTCGCCTGTACACTCATAGGTTGGAACCTTGGGTAGGCTACGCCTTTCTCCGCGTGGTTTCTATACAATCTTATCGGAATCTGATCCACCATAAATCTGAAACAACCAAAATAACATTACTATGCGTCTTGGAGTACATACTGGAAGATATTTTTGGTTGAAGAATCTTACACAATTTGGTGAGTGTTCCACAAGATAGAGTAAGTGTGAAAGTCCTTGGTTGGGTCGAACCAGAGATGGATCCTTTCTTCGCGGTTATCAATTCCATCGGCATAGACATTTGTCTGGAGAATGTAAGGCTGCCCGTTAACGTTTCCTAGGAATTCAAAGTCAATTTCATCCCGGTTTGGCTGATTTGAAGACATCTGATGAATCATGGAAATTATGAGATTTATTCACATCTACCCGTTAGGATGATAGAGATAGAGAAGGTTTCTTACATAATAAGCAACCACGGTTCCTTGAGAACTTCCCGGGATAAGTTTGATCTTCATATCTATTTGCCCGAACAAGAACGTCTGGATGGAAGAAAAAGAAGCTCCTAATATTATCAAAACATAAGTTCTTGATGCTGGTAATTAAAAAACACCGAGAAGACATTTGGATGTATATGAAAATTTTATATACCAGATTCTTGATCAAGCTTAAGGGTTCTTGATCGACCATCATTGGAGGTGTTAACGTGGGTAGGAGACCATGTCACGAAGAAGTCTTTGTTAAAATCTCCTGATGAAACAACGGCAGCTTGTGAGATCCATAATAGCAAATTGGAGATAAAGAATCCTATGAGAAGTACAAATGGTTTTGAGCGATTTATTATAGTCATTATTTAAGATGTTTGAGGGTTGAGTACGTTGGACATATATGACGATCATTGGTCAGTATATATACATATTGTATTGCATCAAAAGTGTTTGAAGTAAACTGTGTCCTATACAAAGAATATCTTTGTGGAGAAGCAAAGAGAATGCATACTTACGTAGGAATATTTTTTTGTTTTCTTTTTCAAAACGTAAGAATGTCGCTTGTTTGCTTCCTTGTACAATTCATACTTGTTGGTTTACAAAAAAAAAACAAACAATATTTCATACTTACTAACTTACATATTATGTTTCTTTTAAATATTAAATATAACTAATTTGCTTCATCGATCTTATGACTGAGTTTTCTGAACCAATTTGCGAACTATCTTCTAATTTACTCTTAACTCTCTTGTTTAGTTTTTTCTCAAAAGTTTGAATCAATATGTGAACTATCTTCTAATTTACTCTTGTTTAGTAATACTGAAGAATTAATGAAGATAACCTAAGGCAAAAGTAGTTATATCGGCCACATAAGAGGTTTTCAATTTAAAATGCGTATAAGTGTTAGGACTTTGGACGAAAAATAAAGTGTATACAATTAGTGATCTAGTGTATTATACGATGATATATCAAATAAGACTATACTCATTTCTGAGATTTTTCTACGTCACTGTTTTACTTACGTCATAGATGTGGCGGCATATATTCTTCGCGACTTTTCAGCTATAGCGTATAGGCAAAGAGGGATAGTGATATATTCACATGCATGAAACACTAAAAAACAATTAATTCTTTATGACTTTTCATTTATTTATTTTTAATTTTTTTTCATAATTGATTTTAAATAGAATTTTAATTATATTGCTTAAACATTTACAAACTCATGTACGTTATGAATTTTTTTGATAACCGAGTGTCCTGGCCTCACCGAGGTGGTCCAGACTAGAGACCGAACCCTTACGGCACGGACTCGGCCGCGATTGCGGCGCACACCCGAAGGTGGATCATGGCCAGGTAACGGTATTCGGTCTCGGGCGCCAGAGCAAGTCCGCATGTAAATTCCCTGGTTGTGTACTTGTGTCACGTTATGAATTTTCTATATTGTTTTCCTTATGATATGTACAACACATTTTTGAATAAACTAGGATATGGTATTCAAATTTGAAACAGAACCATCTTTTCCGTCTCAGCATTCTTCTTTGTTTTTTTTTCGACTTGGTCTGCTCTCTGGTTGTTCCTTCTTTCTTTTTGCTTTGAAGTGTTTCGATTTTTTACGTTTCTCGTTTGTTTATGTAATCGTCTGTCAAAAAGTAAAATGGTATAAATTTAATTTTTTAATAAAATGTTAGAATAGCAGATTTTTAAATAGAATTATATAAATAAAAAACAACAACAAGTGAACGACATGAAATAACTGTAAACAATTTCCTTGAATAAACTTCACTTTTTTAGTATAATAAACTTCATTTAGGTTATATTTACATATACAAAAAATATGAAAAATATTTGAACAATGGCAAAGCTACCAATAAGAAACAATTACATGTGTTATTACGAAATTATTTTATTACGGACAAAATTGACAAATAATAGTTACGAAAATAAATTTTATTCATATGGACAATTGCAAGGAATAATACGAAAATACCATCACATGGACCATGCGTTTACCACAACGTCGTTTATTTTTGTGTCCGCACAAAATGCGAGATAATTTTCAAATCTCTATATAAACCATGTTTACGAACCCCAAAATCATAACACAACAAAGCTTGAAATAGCCATTATCAACTTAGAAAAATGAATTTCATTAGCTATTCTCGATTTCTAATAGTTTTTGTAGCCCTTGTAGGAGCTCTCGTTCTTCCCTCAAAAGCTCAAGACAGCCCACAAGACTATCTAAGGGTTCACAACCAGGCACGAGGAGCGGTAGGCGTAGGTCCCATGCAGTGGGACGAGAGGGTTGCAGCCTACGCTCGGAGCTACGCAGAACAACTAAGAGGCAACTGCAGACTCGTACACTCGGGTGGGCCTTACGGGGAGAACTTGGCCGGTAGTAGCGGAGACTTGTCTGGCGTCTCGGCCGTGAACTTGTGGGTTAACGAGAAGGCTAACTACAACTACGCTTCAAACACATGCAACGGAGTTTGTGGTCACTACACTCAAGTTGTTTGGAGAAATTCAGTGAGACTCGGATGTGCTAAAGTGAGGTGTAACAATGGTGGAACCATCATCAGTTGCAACTATGATCCTGCTGGGAATTATGTTAACCAGAAGCCTTACTAATGATGTGATCATGCCTACGTACACACGTACATAAAGGACGTGTATATGTATTTCAATAAGGAGCATCATATGCAAGATGTGTATCAATATTTATTAAATTATACAAATAAGAGTAATGATTTATCATTATCAGTGTTTCTACAATGATTACGATTGTCTCAAGGTCGTTTTTAGTAAACATGTCAGGATGGCTTTGGTTTTTGCCCTAATGGATGACGCTGTGCTCTGTGTGCTTAGTCCCATGCTATTTCAATATGATTTGGTTCTTGTTGATATCTTGTGGTTACCAGTGATGATTATTGTTATTGTTGTAACAAATAAAATGAATGCAGAGCCGTGCCAAGAGATTTTAATGCCATAGGCAAACTAAAAATATATTATTTTATAACAACTATCATACCAAAATGTAGTTCAATGTTTAAGTAAAATATCTTAACTGGAATAATTTATAAATAAATTGTTGACAATACAAATTAAATCGAATATGAATTATTTTGTGACTAAAATAAAATTATGTGAAAACAATTCAGAGTCTAAACATGGTGTTTAATATAAAAATGTAAATTTTCAGTCTAAACATGTATAAAAAATGGTTAAAAACTGACTAAAAATGAAGAAGCCGGTAAAAACTAAAGAACATGAGAGGGATTAATGTGGTTGGAGAAAAATCGGGAAAACGGTCAATATTAATCCCAACTATTTTTATGCTGTCTTTTTCAACCTAAACTCTGATTCCTTGCACTTATCAATCCGAACCCACATAAATTTTAAATAACAAACCTGAACTATGTAACCGTTAGCCAATTTCAACTTATATTAAATAATGTAACAAATCTGAATTATATAACCTTCAGCCAATTGAATAAAAAGAATAGTTCATATACAAAAGAACAGATAATTACGATTTAACAATTCTAATCGACATTAATAAATACAAAAAAAAAATATGTTCAAATTGGGTAACAGTTACATAGTTCAGGTTTGTTATTTAAAAATTATGAATTAAGATTGATAAATGCAGAGAGTCAAAATTTGGATTGAAAAAAACCGCATGAAAATAGTTGGGGTTGATGTTAGCCGTTGTCTCGGAAAAAAACAAACACATGGACAGTAAAAAACATTGACTATTCTTCGAATTATTGATGGCATTTAAGGCAAAGAAAAATAAAACTAAAATCCATCTTTACGTGTAAGTAAACAATATGTCTCTTTAGATTTTAAGTAAAAATTTTAGGCGGTTGTTTCTATTTTTTTTTATCAAATTCTGTATATATTCAACCTACCAGAAAATTGGAAACTGCCACAAACGTAAATGTACATTTTTACAGTTTCATTTAAAACAATTAATAACAGTAAGTCAGATCGAGTAATTTCGAGGATAAAGTTGAACATATTATATAGAAATACCATGAATAATGATAAGTATTTTTTTTAATGGCCAATTATTCCTCCATTGCTTGATAAATAAGGGATTTAAAAAAAATAAAAAAAATAAAAATAAGGGATTTACAAATCCAAACAAAAAAGTAAGTGGACCTAACCTATATAATCATAACTATATCCACTAACTATATTCAAATTGAAATTGAATTTTTTATTGAATTTTTTCTATCTACATATTTCATAGGTAGTGTTCCTGCCTAAGATGAAGACTTTTTCAAAATCAATACCAACATATAAATAATAATTTTGCAGGAATAGACTTATCCTAAATTATAAAATTTGCATAAGAATAAATATATATTATGCATATAAACGTTGATTTTAAAAACTTTCCATAGTTACAAGACGAGAAACGCAGTAAATTGGTTACAAATATCTATTGCTCATTTTGCAAAGTTTTTGGAGTGTGGAAGTCAAGATCACTTGCAATGTGATATAGTGCTGCGAACAAGAGAGTGCAATCGCGGACTAGAACAGTTACATGCGATCCAAGCTAAATCGGTCTCAAGGACTTATTTAGTTAACAAAGTCAAGATGGCTTAATTTGTTTGATTCCCTCATGGATTTACGTTTTTCTCTTTTTTTCTGATAAATTATAAATTATATATGTTGCTATCTTGTGGGTAAATGTGTCTGATATTTTTCCATGTTACAAATGTGATGTCATATATATGTTCATAAATCAAACGTAAGCAAGACGGTATGAAAGAGATACATGAATGAAACACTAATTTTCATGACATTTAATTTCACTGTTAGTTTTTTTTTTTTCTCTTTCAAATCGCATGTATCTCTTCTCACAGAAACGCAAATAATATGGTATATTTAATTATGTGGTTTCGTTATGGGGTGTTGAATATATCTATGAGCAATATTAATACATATAGTAGTAGTGGAGGGAGAAAGTTTTATAACAAATGGAGACTGGAATATGAGTAAGGAAATGAATTAAGCCCCCAATTAAAACCTTTTTACCTAATTTAAATATAAATATATGATTTTTTCACTTTTATTTGATCTTATATTTAAATTATTTTAAATTATTATAAAATATATAGTTAATAAAATATAGATTTTTTCTGTATATGATGTAATTCATATATTTTTAAATGGACATATATTACTCAATCGATAAAGAAAAAGACAATGTGTACAATGACCAACATCGCCTGAAAAATTGGAGAATGGTTCATAGTCATACTATAAAAATGACCAAAATAATTTCGAATACGAATAAGCAGGAAGCTTGATTTATTAGGTTTCCAAAATTAAAAGTGTGATCCGGTTTACCCCGACTCTTTATTTAAAAAAATGAAACTCTTAAAAAATTTCAAAAATATTATAAATATTAAAAAAAATTTTAAAATTCAAATATTATTAATATTTATACTTTATAAGAAGTTTATAATAAGTTTATTATTAGTTAAATATTATAATTTACTAATATAAAACTTAAAACAAATGAAAACTTACAACTATCCTACTATACCTACTTTTAAACTTAAAACTACCTCTTCTTTTTGTGAGAGACCCAAGAAAATAATGACCAAAACATTTGTATCACGTTATGCGCTACATCACGTTATCACGTCAGGTCACCATTGGATTATGTGAGGAGAATTTCAAAAATACCCATTTTTCAATACAATCTTTTTAAAACGATATTTCGCTAAATCATATCAAAAATGCTTCTAAAAATATAAGATTTATCCAAATACGTGTGTAACTTTATTAAAGCATACATAAACTATATTTATATATGTATTAATAAAATCTTTTAGAAATATTATATAAATACTATATAATTACCTTGTAAAACCTTATAAAGACCCGTAAAATCTTGTAAAACATCTTATAAAAAAATAAAATACCTTACAAAACCTTATAAATACTTAGATCGAGTATCCAAGTATTATTTACCATCCAGAATTACCTTAGATCCATGACCCGAGATTAGCACAATTGGATTCAAAAATAAATTGACTTTATAACTCTTAATGAGGTGAATTAAATTGGTAGTTATAATTTTTTTCCAAGAGCATTGTAACATAATATCCTACAAAAACCAATGTTACATTTTAAAGATACTTCCGTAATATTAATATAAGGATATTTTCCTAAATCAACCTTATTCAAGATGTAGACTTTGATTATTCCAACGTCGTTGCAAGAAACAAATTACCATGACATTACCGGTCGCAAGGTCGTTTTTAGTGAACATGTCAAGATGCCTTTTTCTAATGGATGATGGGTGACGTTTTTCTGTGCTTAGTCCCATGCCATATCAATCTGATTTGGTTCTTGTTGCTATCTTTTGGTTACCAGTAATTGGTGTTGTTGTAACAAATGAAATGAACGGAATTATTCTATATATTCAATCTACCAGAATGTTGAAAACGGCCACAAACCTAAATATATATTTTTATAATCAGTTTCATTTAAAATAATTAATAACAACAAGTTAGAGAGTAATTTAGAAGAAAAAATTGAACATAGTCGTTATATAACAATACTATGAATAATAATAAGTATATATATTTTTTGAGTCGCCAATGAAATATTCCTCCATTTTTCGATAGATAAGAGATTTACAAATCCAAAAACATAAGTAAGTAGACCTAAAATATAAAATCATAATTACATATATCCACCAATCTGATATTCAAATTGAAAATGTAGAACCTTTCCATTTTTTTCTTAAGGAAAATTTATTCATATCTCTTATTGATCTTTTTTGTATCTACTTATTTCATAGGTAGTGTTCGTTTTGCATACGAAAGGAAGACTTGTTAAAATCATTACCAATATTATTATTAATTTTTGTGTTTGGTAACTCAGGGTAGATCCTAGACCTATGGAGAGATCCACACTAATCCCTAGGGATATGCAGCCCATGGATATATACCAATTCTTATACAAGTAGAATGTAACAAAAGTTTATTTGTATAAGAATAAAATTGTTTATACTATAAGAAAATAATGAATTGTGATGAATTATATAAGATGTTATATTGTATAAAATCTTCCATAATTGTAAGATAGAAAACGCATCGTAAATTGGTTGCAATTATATATCGCTAATTCTTGTGTTGGTATGCAGCGACCAAACGATTTGTCACTAGCGTCATATTAAATACTACGATTATGTGTTTGTCGTTATTTAAAGACAAATTATTATCGCTAATTTAATGGATAATGGATATAGCAGATACAATTACAAGGTAAACGTCGTGGAGGAGATCAGTTTCCTCCACCGCTAAAAAGGAAAACCGTGGATACAAGAGTCTACATGAAGGAGTTAATATGAAACCAGATGCTTGGGGATATTGTTTTTTTTTTTTTTTTTTTTTTTTGATAATCCAGGTATCCAAAGCCCAGTGGGCCCTGACTAGCCCACTAACCCGAAGGCTTGGCGTGCGTCCCGAAGGCGGCAAGAGTGGTTCCTGGAGGCCGCATAGCCCAATGTTAAATTTTTCTGCGGTGGCCACTTAAGGTGTTTGCAGCCGTGGGGATTCGAACCCGGGAGTATTGGGAATCTCACCCTCAACCCGAAATCCTTCCTACCACTGGCCCACCTATGAGTGGTATTGGGGATATTGTTAGAATTCGGATACAAATTATTTTCTAGGGAGAAAGTTGTAAGGAACCATTCTTGGAGTGAACTTTGTAAACTTGAGTCGAACCAAGAGATTATCTTATATAAGTTGGATTATTTTTCTAAGTTTTGAAACCTTGTCTTGATTTAGTTA